AAATATGTAATAAAAATACATTTTTCCTGCATCCTCACATATTTTGTAGATATCCCCATGACTGAAGTGTGTTTGTGCACATTGTAGAAGTGTGTGCGGCTCTTGTTGCACATTTTTCAAATGTGTGATCCTCCCCTCCACCCAATATGCATCATAAGTCCAGAAGGGGATGGATTTTTGACTGCAAGGTGCATTCAGTTCCACAAGGTAGGAATTATGTAAATATGTAAAAAACAAGAACAAAACCTTAGATGGAGCATGCTTCATCCCTTCCTAGTGAAGACAGCAAAAGCTTGACCACTACTTGACCATTCTCTGTTTATACCTGGGAGTGCAGAGGTCATTGTCCTAGAACATGCTGGATTTTTAAAAAACAAATTTCTTTACAGGATCTTTCTGCCCCCACTTCCCCAATCTTTAGTACATCTTTTAAGGCTTGTGGAACCAAATATAAACACACAGGTTGCTTACCTGTAACTGTCATTCTTCAAGTGGTCTTCTGTGCATTCACACATAGGGGCTTTGCCCACACACGTTTGCTCTGTGGCAAAGCCCCTATGTGTGATTGCACAGAGTCCGCAAAGAAGGACCAAACCGTACAAACTGAAGACTCTTCCTTAAAAGACATCACAAACATGCAAATGTACTGGGAAAAGAGGTTTGACTGCAGCAGCCTGCTCAGTCTTTTTTGAGGTAGCAGAGACGCCTGGGCCAAAGGAAGGTGCAGAAAAGCCCCACGGCCTCACCAGGAAGATGGGAACCACTTCAGCAAGTCAACTTGTTTGTGACAAAGTGCAGGTAAACACAGCATGGCTGAGTCCTTGATCTCCCCAATTAAATATTTAAATGGGGTTTAGACAGAACAGGCTGCAAAGTAGCATTTCTTCAAGAGATGTATATGGTGTGTGAATAGTGCATACCTTTATGTACACAGAAAGGGAAACCCAAACCAGAGCTGTTGAATACAATCATAAACCACATCTCTTTATTTGTTAAAATGGTTCAGCATAAAAATTCACTTCTAAATCTCATTGCATATCAGCACCATTGTGACTGGATTTATTTATTTGTCTTAATATTTATATATTGCCCCATTCCCATAGGCTCTGGGAAGTTTGCAAGAAATTAAAATCAACAGTGAGAAATATTGACTAAGACAATGTTAAATACAACTGACAAGAGAACCCATCAGGGAAGGCCTGTCAGAAGAGAGACATTTTCAACTCCTTCTTAAAAGTGGGGATTGGGGAAATCAGATGCATCTCTCTGGGCAGACCATTCTGCAGCTTAGGGGCAGCCACTGAGAAAGTCCTTTGGGTGGTGGACATTAACCTTACAGAAGATTATCCCCGAGGACCTTAGTTGGCCAGGTGGACTGTATGGCAAAGGGGCTCCTAAAGGGTTCTTCCCTGCTCAATACTATCATTTAAATAAAGCTACTGACTGCCATTTCAAGCAATAATCAGCATGTGAAAACATTTAGTGATTGTTTGGGATCAGAAGGCATGAGCCAGGGATATTTTGGCTGAGGGCCAAGCAAAAGACAACATTGTGATTCATGCAGTTAGTGTTTCTATCTAACTGATGATGATGATTAATATTATTATTATTAGATCCAGATTGGGACCCTTACCAAGATGAGAAGGGGATGAAGGTAAATTTCTGCCCTCGACCATTTCACTGCCATCCTAGTCATCGGTGCTTGCTATTTGCCAAGAAGAGCCTTCCTCCCAGTGCAGATGGGTTGGGGCCCTGACCCAGACTGGGACTGTAGCAAGAGGCAAAGGTTGGAGCAGGCTTCCTCAACCTGGCACCCTCTGGATGTTTGGAAGGCAACTCTCACCAGCCCCCAAGCTGGTAAGGGCAAGGGCAGGAATATCTGGAAGGCACCAGATTGAGGAAAGTTGGGCTAATGCTTTTCTGCTCCTCACCAAAACCCCATTTTGAACCAGGCTCCTTGGGAGCCTGACTCCTTGTCTGTTGCAAAAGCACATTCACATTATTGCTAATGGTGCTAACTGTGCCATGTGTGGCTTGGTCCTAGGAGGAAATCAGGACCAGATAAAGAGTCAATGTGTCACCTGCAAAGCATGAACTCAAGACCTTAGTCCTACCCCTGAGGTGGAAAACCCAAGTCTGGGAAGACGGGGCATCAAAAGACTCCCCCCATACTCCCCCACCCTTCTACATGTCAGGGAAGATCTTGTAAAGATCTCCATCCCCCAAATTGCTGAGGTTGAGCAAAAGAGTCCAGAACAATCTTGACCTTCCTTTGGATGTCATGGCACAGATTTTGGAGTGGAATGAGAACTGAAGGTGCCCTCAGCTCTGTCCTCCACAGATTCCAGATACCTTGGCCTGTAATTTCCCAGACATACTCATGGCCAGAAGGGAATCTGCAGTTGCCAGGGCATGAACATAACTACTATCATAGGGCCAAGGAGGGGTAGAATACTCCCTCTGCGCATCTGCCACGCAGAGGGAGTATTCCTGTGGGAAGAATGCCCAGGCCCCTTCCTTCCTTCCTGTAGAATCCACTGGCCCAGGATTCTGACACCACTACATGCTTTTCTCTCCTGAGTAACTCACTGCATGTGATGGAGCTATTCACTCAAGTACAGTTGAAGTAAGTGAAGTGCTCGTAAATTATAAGAACTGGGAGCAGTATCAAACTCATTGCTGATGCTGCTTCAGTCTAATTCAGTGGAGAAATAAAGGCCCTAGATGTGCTGTAGGCAAGGGACCTGTTAGGTTCTGCTTTAGCCTCCCTTCTCACTGGCTTCCACAGTAGGGGAGGTGCTCATTCCTGCTATAAGGAATGTGAAATGTAATCCTCAGCAGTAAGCCCCACTGCATTCCGCTGGGAGTACTCCCGCAGAAGCAGGATTAGGCTTGCAGAGAGAGCCTGTAAGCCTGTATCGAGGCTCTTGCACTTCAGGCTGGAGATCTGAGCTCCCAGTCGTTTATTGATTTGATCTGGACCCAGACTTTCGTGGCCAAGTGCTAGCACAAAACCGATTTCAAAACTAAAACTTGATTAAAATAGTATTAAAATGCAATTGAAAACACCACACTAGCAGAATAAAAGCAGCACCAACCCTGGCAGACCAGTTTAAATGCAAACAACCTGCTGGAACAACACAAAAATGCCTGCTGGCAGAAGGGAAGCATTGAGGGTGCCAGCTGCCCCTGCCCTGTCCTGGCAAGGAGGGCAACATCCTGGGAACCGTTACCCAGGAAGCCCCTGACTGAATGCCTCATACACAAGGTCCCTCCACAGACAAAACTAATGGCAGAAGGAGGTTCTCAAAGACTTTTTCTTAACAGGCACTTTTAGATACATGGGGATCATCATTTGGTTAAGGGCGATCTTCTTAGCCTCTGGAGTTGCTGCTGAAAGCAGAGCCCCCAGGAAAGCTTCACCCCGCCAGGTGACAGTCCAGACCCTTTGTGCATGTGTGGCACGCGTGTGCTGTGGGGCCAGGTGGAGCTGTTAATTCAGGCTTCTCTTGATTTAGCCTTACATGCCATCATGCCCGCAACCAGCACACCTGTTGGCGCTGGCTGTTCAGGTGCTTAGGCAGGGGAACTCTTGCACCCTCCTGCTTGAGGGAGCCTGGGAGAAGCTGGCCTGCCATTATGTGAACAGAGTGCTAGCTCTGATCTGGCCTGGCTTTCCTCATGTTCTTACCAGCTGAAATGGCACACAGGCCTTCATGCTCTTGCACTGCAGTGCTAAGGTTAGCCACAATAATTTGATTCTCCCTTTCTATTCCAGGGAGGTGTTTGAGCTGCATTACAAGCAATAGAAGGCAAGGTCTTTCTGCTCAGAAATGCAGAAGACCAACTCCAGCCCTTTCCACCACTAGAACACAGTTCTCTACATGTAAGGCTATTCTTAGGAGAGAAGAACAATATGATTAGACAGAAGCTGCTCAGCTGTGGAAGCCTGGGATCTCTCCAAATCAGTGAAACTCAATGCATCTGTGCATGTTGCTCAAGATGAAGTATGAACCCAGCTGATGAACAGAACGGCGTGGGAGCAAAATAGAGGGGGAAACTCACTTCTTCTGAGGTGCCGAGCACTCCTCTAGCTCTGGTTCCATCAGGAGTTCACAGCAGCTGCACACCAAACACTTCTGAAATAGCATGGCTATTGCCAGGGCTAACTTCAAAACTCTGAAACAACTCTTTCCCTTGTTGGAAAACAAACACTACTTTCCAGATCAGAAAAGGCAGATGTAATATAAAAAGAGCACCCATAGTGGGTCCTGGAGCCCAACATTGCAATTGAAAAAACAGATGTGCAGAGCAGTGAATCAAATGCTGGCTCAGACGCCTGGGTTGCCCCTCCTCTTAGAGTTCAGGGAGGCCATGCAGACTTTTAAAAATGTTTAAATGAACCATATTATGTTTGTGTATTCATTCACTGCCTTTTATTAAAATGTTTTTTCCTCATTTAAAGCTACCCCAGCAGCTGGGGCGGGGAGATTGATGGGTGCCACCATTGGTAGCATACAGAGTAACCTCTCTCCCCAACCTCCCTTGATCCTCCCCCAGCTCAATCCTGAAGAAGAGCAGTCTCTTTGGACTGGATGGAGGAGGCTGACTGCAAAGCAGCATCACGGTTTTACACATGCCTGCCTTCCCTCTGAGGAGAGCACTTCTTCCTCTTGGAGAGTAGCCCAGAAGCATAATCTTCCCATTCTCTGGTTAAGAATCAGACCAGTCTTCCTAAGCCAGTGCCCTCCAGATGTGCTGGAATTCAGTTCCCCATCACCCCCAGACTGGAAGTGGCTGGCTGAAGAAGTGTGAAGAGAACTCACGCGCGATGCATCCGGAGGGCACTGGGTTAGCAAAGTCTGGAGCAAACTAATTCTGCCTTGGTTTCTTAGGAAAGTGACCTGAAGTCAGAGTGGCCACTCTCTCTAGGCCTTCTTCTAGAAAATAAGGGCTGGGGAAATCAAGGCAACACAGGAAACAGGTTCTAGGCCAAGTGGTATGTGGAACAGATGTTTATTCAGTGATTTGGTATTGGTTAAATTCATCCAGAACAGTTAAGATTCAAAAGATTCTTTGTGGGTAGGGGGTGGTGGCCTTAACTATGTATCAGACTATGTTGGCATCTCCGTCTACAGCTTCTTGCAATGGCAAGTTAGAAAAAAACTAAACTTTTGAAGTGTATATGTAGTGCTGCTGGGATTAGATTGAAAACTGGGCACAGATACATAAAGAAGTTGAATGGAAGTCTGCACTGTGATGTCAAAGGCCTCACGTCCAGTCACTTCCAGGAGCACTTTTACTTCCGCAATTGTTTCAGAATCACGTCCACGGCTTCTGCGAGGTTGTTCACATAACCGTCTGCCTTCACATCTGGGTGCTGCTCATCACAAGGCCTGCACAAAAGGAGACAAGAAGACAGAACCTGTAGAAAAGTGAATGGGGTACGGAAATAACAGGCAGCATCCCCTTCTCATTGTTGCAAACCCTGATCTGGAGGGACAGTTTTCACAGGGCTTTCGGTCCATTTGAGCAGCATCACTTCTCTCACAGATAGGCTAATCGTGAAAACTGGCCAGGTGCAAATCTTACACTTGTACCTGCAAGTTCATTATTCTTTTTTCTTAGCATTGCTCCAGTTTGAATTGCTGTCACATATAACTGTGATCACTCAATCAACATGATCTCTTTATCAATATAAATACGTACTGGATAACTGGTTGGATTGCTTGCATGAGTCCTGCCATCTGGAAACCAGATCCTGGTGAGCTCCTCCCACCCCCAAGTCCTCTTCTGGCATTCTGTGAGAGGGCAGGCTCTATGCAAGAAGAGGGGACATGCAGAGGATGGCGGTACTTCCACCCCCCCCCCCCCGGCTTTGTTTTTCCCATCACCTTTCACATGAGAGGGTGACAGTTTTCGGGGAAGGGACGTTCTTTGTCCATAAAGGTTCTGCATATGATTTAGAACCCTTAAAAATCAGGATTCTACATTCCATGGGAAACTTTCAAGGAAAAGGCTTTATGTGGGAGGTGACCAGGACAGCAATAGTGGGAGGGAAGCTCATGTGCCCATTCCGACTGGTTCCCTCATATGTAGAGCCCAAGAATGCCTAGAACAGCTGAAGAGGGCTTCCATGTTAGTGTTTGTTCAGTGTTACAGAAACAGAATCCCCTGTGACTGAAGCAGAAGCTATTAAGGGCTTAAATATTTTTCTAGCTCACTTCAAAAATACAGATAGTTACCTTGTATTTAATGAAGTGGACATAATTTTATGTAGTCGAGCTACAAAACACACACCTTCCACATGAATCTTCTATAAAGCCAGTCACTTCTAGCTCCATAACAAAGTCGATTTAGTCATGACCTTTAAAATGCACACCATTTTAGTGTAACAGCTCTTTTCTAGTCCCTTGTTATTTGCTAATTCACACTCCACTGTATCTCTTCCTCTTCCCTCATCCTCCAGAGGTCGGAAGTATGTTTTGGCTGGAATTTCTATAGCAAGAGTATTTCAGGATAATGAAGGTCAAGAGTTTTCAAATCAACTAAGATGGGAACCAGAACTGAATGCCTCCTAAGAGACTGGCTCATTCCTGGAGGGGCTGCAGGGACAGACACGAGAACACGGTTGTTCACTCTACAAGTTCCTCTCTTCAACAGTGTAAAAGGCAAGGCTACATTTGCTGAAGGATATTTCCTCAAATGTGAAGACACATTTCTCAAGAGATTCATGCTGGCTATGGATGCCACTTGCAGGATTCAGATGATATTTGTCAGAACAAGTCTTCCTATGTCTTAGTTCCTGAGGTAAGCCTACCAGAGGATTGTTCCCTTTTGAAGTACCGATTTTCTCAGGGTAATTAAATTTCTTACAAGGTTCCTTAGGCCCTTCCTCATCAGTAACAGATACATTTCTTTGGAGAAGGAAAAAGGAACATTTTGATCTCTTCAGTGTAATGTGAAGTAAAAATTAGAATCTTCTGGCATATTCCTTTCTGCCCCTGGGCTAATTCTTATCTTACACCAAGTCATATTATGCACATACTTGTGCACGTAATAGCTCTCAGGCGTTGTCTAGTCACCACAGAGTACAGTGTGGAAGGACAGAACTCATGCCACACCAGAGCTGAAACATCTGAGGACAGCAGTCTCATTTTCCGAGAGACCTTTTGGTGCTGCTGTGAGAACCTGAGTTCCCAACCCATATGTTGACCTGCTCACATTCAGGAGAGCAGAACAAAGATAGCAACATAACACACACATTGTGGTACTGTTGTCTAACCGTGTCACATTAAAGCTCTTTACTTAAAATATGTAAACAAAAGTAGACAGTAAACTTTGGATAGGGGCACTGCATGTCAATATATTTTGGAACAAAATGCACGCACACACAGCCTCAAAAAGTGCAAAACCAGCCAGTAAAAACCTCACTGCTCCTGCTCATCTACTGGATTCCTAAGCTAGGAAAAGACTTTTTTGTGGGATTGAAGGTGGCCTGTTTGTCAGAACACGTTGTATGTTTGTGGTGTGTAAACTTGTCTTAGCCTAATTTCTCATACACAGGATTTTCAGGAAGGCAAGAAGATAATAGTGCAGAGTGGGGAACTCAGGTCCAGCTGAATGGGATTCCCTAGATTGTCCCCCTTTCACCCAAGCACAGTTTGTTTGGTAATTTCCCAGCTTCTGTGCAGCTTTTTTCTCCTTTCGAAAAAGTCAAAATGCATCTCTAAATACTTTGTTTTGGGCAGTAATACTAGAAATAACTACCTGCTGCTATGTTTGCATTTCTGGCTGGACACACCACTGGAATGTAGACCCCTAGAGCTTTTCTGAAATGGAAGTTGGCCATTGGGCTGCTATAATGACATGAAGGACATGAATATACGCCTGAATATATATTGGCTTTCTATGTATAGAAGAAAGTCATGACAAATAATATGCATATCAGATATCTATGCAGGGCCTGGAGTTGCCTGGAGGTTATGGTCCTTCTTTTCTGAGGTGTGACATTCACCTTGCTACATTTTGCAGCTTCTGGAGCACCAATGTACCTAGAATGGCCACTTGATTAATTGACCCATGCACTGCATCGAGATGTGCTTCGAGAGGGGACCCATCCACTAAATAGAAACACACACATTTAGATGCTAGGTTCACCTGACTCTGCCCCCAAACAAACTGACATAATGGATGCCACAAGCAGGAGAGGAAGAAGTAGCTTTTCCATGGTGCTTACATCCTGCTGGACGACTCGTTGAATCCCTGTCCCTCCTTTGTCATGTCCTTTAGATGGTCACTCTGCAAGCAGGGAATATTTGATTTCCTTGTAAGCTGTTCTGGAAGCCATTTGGGCTGAACAGCAGGTGAAAATACTTTAAACAAACAAATAGGTGCTGCATGGGTACTTGCATCAGACACCCAAGGGACTCTAAACAGGGTGCATGAAGGTGCCGCTCAGAGTGCTGCCCTCCTGTCTTTCAAAGCAGCAATTTCAGAGTTGAATTGTCATAGCACATAACCATATCTTATTACCTTTTAACCCTGAGTTCAGAATCTTTGCTATTAATGTTGATACATAGGCCCATCTGGTAATCTGTTGTTTGTTTTGCAGTTTCCTTTGTAGAGTGCAAAAATAAAATCCAGTGTTCAAAGGAATGTGTTTTCTTTCCTTTATACGCATCAGAGTTTAGTGAACTGCCAGCAACTCACAAGCAAATGACAAGAATAAATGGTTCCCATGTCAATGGACACTTTTAATTCAATGGGAAAAAAAATTCTGTTGCCAAATTAAAACTTTTCTTTTACTTCTCAGTAGAGTATAAAATGCAAGACATGACTGTTTCATTTTGAAAGTATTTCACACTTCCTATAATATTTCCAAAATCACATTTCTTTACAAAAGCAATTTATTTATACTATACATAAGCTATGCACACCTTTTGATATGGCAACCAGGCCAATTAAGTTTTCACATACGAATGGAAGAAAAGACAGCTCTTAGTCTTAAGTACTGACTGTTGTCTTCAAGCAGCTACATTAGTAGCTATGATGTAATGTTTTAAGGTGCAATCTTACAGCCTCCTGACATCATGTGGGAGGCTATAGATTTCTTTGGAGTCCCAGCTCTGTGATCCTACACTCGTGGAGCTGGGATCCTGAAGGCTAAGCACTGTTCCTTTCACAACCTGTGAAAAGACTTGCAGCTGGCATAGAAAGGAGTGCTAACTGCTCCCCCCACCCCGGAGGTCACCATGGGAGGTGGAGGAGGAAAAAAGGGTGTGCTGGGGTGGGAGAAGGCTGGAGCTGTAGAGCTACACTGGTTCCACTCTGTGCCCCAGCCTCTTTTCCTCTCCCTCCCCAGCAGTAAATCTAGACGGACATTTTCAGCCAGTAAAACAGAATGTTGAGTCCAAAGTAAGGAGCCTGGAGAGATCACGGGGTGCAAACAGTACATCAAATAGGACTGCCCCCTTAGTCATCAAAATGACCACTGGGTATTAGAATAGGCTGGAGTTTCAGTGCTGGTGGAAGACTGTACTTGAAGAAAAGAAAGGGACAGTGTACAAAATTCTATGGCTGAATATAATATAGCATTAAAGGTGAAACTAAGGCCAACATTAGCTTTAGGAATTTCTCCACTGTTAGTATTCTCTTTGAAATGTTTTCCAAAACTCGGAGGAGGGGGTCATTGTGACTGCAACTCAATGAAACAAAGACAACTCGAGAAAATATGCAAGTTTTCAACAGAAAGGATAGTAACTGAATATGCAGACAGTGCAAACAGAAATTTGAGTTCAAATAATTCAGTTATTACAAATCAAAGTTTGCTTAAATAGTATTTCTTGAATGAGACCTGTAACCAAATTTGGAAAAAAAAACGTTATTAGGTTTCACAAAAGAGATTATTATCAAAATTGTATATTCTGTTGTCAGCATTTCAAGAACCATGAATAAAATGAGATAGGAAAATAAGTGTAATAGGAATATATTGAATAAACATTGGAATGATGCATGCGGGGGGGGGGGGTCCAAATACGATTTGGAACTTGCTGCAAGATTTAAAAGATCATCTATTTGTAGCATTTAACGTCTTATTGAATATGTAAGATATAAATCATCTACTGCATTGTGCTGCAGATGTGGTCAGGCTATTCAGACGATAAACATATATAATGGACTTGCAAATATTTAAAGGGATTTTGGACTTATGTAATCATTATTAGAGAAGAAATCCATTTGCCTAATTATTACCTAGGCTGAATGAACTGGTAGCATCCAAGACCTACTTGGATGGTATATTAAAAGAATCGATGGTATATTAACTTATGCTTTGTTGTCTACCCAGGGTTTGTCTGGCAGGCAATTAAAAAAACTGATTTGGTTTCACAGTGTT